TTTTCTTTCATTTTTACCGTACTTTTTGCTGAGGTTATTAGAAATATCTTTTTCATTATTTTTTTATACACACGTATATATCTAGTATGTGATTATATATACCTACGTACATACTTTGAAAACATAATTTTTGTACATGCTTATTTGTATTATTTGTTGGCTATATTCATATTTAAATATAACTCTCATAAGTGAAGTTTGGAGTTTAATTACATCTGGTGAATTAATATTTTTTTAACTTTATTTTTTTTTTTTTTTTTTGAATTTTTCTTTCGACTTCGCTTTAATTGCATATTTTAACAACCTTTCTTAGATACCTTGATACTTAGATTTATGATTCGTGAATTTTTATTTCCCGTTTGAATTTTGGATTTTTGGATATTTTTTCGTTCGGAAGGCGAGTATTGTTCGGCCCTTTTGGAAACAGTTTGCTTTTCCGGTTTTAAATCATTATTATTTTTGATTTTAGTTGAATTATTTACTTGAACTTTCATTTATATTTTTGTTAAGTGAATTTTTGAATCCTTGGGTTCGTGGTGAATTTCTTAAAATTTTTTTTTTTATTTTTGTTATATTCATTCCTTAGTTTTTTCTACCCAAGAAATTTTGAAGTTTTTCTTCGGTTCTTTTTATATTTTCTTATTTTTAATCGGTATTCCGATCTCTTTTTAATTTTACCCGAGCTTTTAAATTTTTGCTAGGTTTTCAGCATTCAATAGCTTTCCGATTTCATTTAATATTTTTACGGAAATTTTATTTAAATTTGATTTGAAGTTTAAATCTGATTTTTTTTTTTATTTTTTATACTATATATAAATATATTTAGTTTTATTTAGCTCTTTCTGATGGTTTGGGCGTTTTTTTGGTCGTTTGAATAATTTCTTCGTTTCAATTTCTATTGTTAATCCTTGAATTTTTACTGAATTTTATAGCCTTTTCATTCTATTTTTTTTTTCTTCGGTATTTTTTTATTCTGATTTTTTTTTTTTGGTCTTACAAGTTAGTTTTGGATTCACAAGTTTCAATTAATTTATTTTTGTGAAGCGGTCTGTGTATGAGACGTGCGTTAGTGCGTTTAGTTGAGTGAATGGAAGAACGTGAAGAAGAAGAGCGACTGATTCCAGGTGGTTTAGGACTGCTAAATTCAAACCGCAGAGTTACTCGAAGTGTAGCACGAAGCTTAGAGAATCAAGTGGTAGGGTCCCTATTTACACAAATTGATAATGGTGTGCCATATCCTGTTGACTTTGTGCCTACAGATTATCTTAACCGTTGTGCAGCGCGTATCTTTGGGACGTCAACGCAAGAAGCGCCGCGCCCACCTCTAGTTAGGGTTACTCAAGAGGTAGCACTGAACGCTACGGATAATAGCTTGACTTTTTCGCAGAAGATTGAAGAATTGATGCAAATGTCTGAGGAGGAGCAGCAGCCAGGGGGGAATATGCAGTCAGACGGTCAAGAACCGGGGGGTTCGAAGTCGAATGATGGTGGACCAAGTTCCACATCCGTCAGTGTCGAACAGCTGAGCCGGTTAATGGCAATGATGGCACAACAAGGTGACCTGATGGCTCAATGTACGAATGAGATCCGCCACATACGAGAAAATGTTGTGACTTTAAATAATAGAGTAGGTGAGGTAGAGACCTCGATGCAGGGAAACGGTAATAGACCGGTGATGGTTTCCACACCAGAAACCCGACGCGATACAAATGGTGAAAGGATCAATGGAGCAGAGGAGCAGAATGCCAGTCACCCGCGCACACATAATGAAAGTAGAAATAGGAAAATCGATTTAGACAAATGGCACGTAAAATTTGATGGTACTGGCAAAGGTATGACGGTGGAAAGCTTCATTTTTCGTATAGAAAAGATGAGGGAGCAGTATGGCATCAGCTACCACCAGTTATTCACCGACTTCCACTGCATAGTCACCGGCAGCGCCTTGAAGTGGTATTGGTAGGTGCTCGAAGACCACGCTGATGAACCTGACTTTGGTTACTTCGAGCTGAAGGCCGAACTGCTGAACCACTTTAGGACTGCCGAGTCGGACTATGAGATTATCAGAGAAATCATGGAGAGGAAACAACTGCCCCAAGAATGCTTTGAAGATTTTTATAGCGATGTACATAATTTAACTTTTCGTCTCAGGAAGAGGATCCCCGAACAGGAGCTTGTCAGCATAATTAGAAGCAATCTCAAACCATACCTGTCAAATTTAACCTACGCTTCGAAAATTAGCACATTAGCTGAACTCAAATCTGAGTGTAAACGAGCCCAAAAAGTCAGTAAGGAAAATAGGAGTAGGCCTAAACCAATAAGTGAAGTAGAGTTCAATTATATGAAATGTGAGGCGTCACTAGATAGAAGCGTAGAGGCGATAGGTAGGGCACAGTGCAATAAGACACAACCACCAGTGGTAGCTAGTAAGAAGTCGTCATCGTTCGTTAGTCCAGATGTCAGTGCAGAGGTCCAGAAGTCTTCGATTAACTCCTTTTGTCCGTCCCCGTTTCACCTAATGTTGTGTTTCTCTTGCGGTATGCCTGTAGATTATTATGTCAAGAACCCCGTAGAGTCCCGTAATAAATGTAAGTGTTCATTCCACGATATGGTCTGTTTCGCGTGTGGTGGTAGTTCGTCGTTTTGTGTATTTAAGCCTAGTCAGGGAAACCAGAAACTGGCGGAGTTGTCCGGGAACTTGCGCCAGGAAAAGGAGCTCCCGGATCCAACGCAGTGAAAGTTCTTAAACGAGAGGTAGAGAATAAGGCAAAGGAGCAGAAAGAAATGTCAGCAAACCAGGTAGGAAAAAGCTTGCATCAGAGAAAGCTGGAATATGAGGAGGCGCGTAGACGCATCTTTCGTGAGGAAATTCTTCAGAAAAAGAAAATGAGAAACTATAAAAAGATCGAGAAAATGCGAGCAAAGAAGAAGTATATTAAAAGAATATGTCGCAAGATAATCTCAACAATCGTTACGATTAAAGGAGACAACAGGTTCTTCGCCAAAACAAAAATAGGAGATCAGGTAGTATTAGCGTTATTGGATTCAGGAGCAGGGGCTAGTTGCCTGGGCAGGAATCCTGACAAGCTTCTGGAGGGCAAAGAAAGTATTATACTACCTATTAAGGGGCAGAATATCCGCACCGCGAACGGTGGAGAAACTGCGGTGGTGGGTGTTATTACTCTCCCCGTCTTGTGGGATAATATAACGCGAGATTTAGAGTTCTTGATCGTACCTGGCTTGCAACAAGAAGTTTACTTAGGTATAGATTTTTGGAAGGCGTTTGATATGAGTGTTGTTAGTAGAGGAGTGCCTGCGAGTGTGAATGGTGCTGGTGTTTCAGAGCTTGTACCCGCCGAAGGAGACCTCACCTTCGACGCAGTGCAGCATGCCTTGACTCACGATCAAACTGTAGCATTAGAGCGTGTGAAGGCTCATTTCCCGTCTTTCGCTGTGTTCGGACTAGGCAAGACAGATAAAGAGGAACATGTAATAGAAGTGACCAACGAGAACCTCCCAGTAAAGCAGAGGCACTACCCAATATCCCCAGCTATTCAGAAACTTGTTTATAATGAATTAGATCGGATGCTTGAGATGGGAGTAATAGAAGAGTCCAACAGTAGTTGGAACTCGCCAGTTTCACTCGTTATAAAGGGGACGAAAAAGCGCCTCTGTCTGGACGCTCGCAAGGTAAACGAAAGGACCGTTAAAGACGCCTATCCACTGCCTTACATTGATGGTATCCTAAGCCGATTGCAGAATACTAGTTTCATATCTGCAATTGATTTAAAAGATGCATTCTGGCAAATACCGTTAGAGAAAAAGTCCAGGGAGAAAACGGCATTCACCGTACTAGGCCGACCGTTGTATCATTTCACGGTCATGCCATTTGGGTTGTGCAATGCAGCACAACGTATGTGTAGGCTCATGGACAAGGTCATACCCGCTAATCTTCGTGAATCTGTGTTTGTTTATTTGGATGACTTGCTTGTGTGTTCGGAAGATTTTGTGTCCCATTTGTCCTTATTAGAAAAAGTTGCTAAATGTCTCCGTGAAGCCAAACTTACAATAAACGTTGAAAAGAGCAAATTTTGTTTTAAGGAGGTAAGGTATCTTGGGTACGTCGTGGGCAAGGGTGCATCCGTACAGACGCGAGCAAAGTCGCAGCCATGAGGGATTTCCCGGAGCCACGAACCCCGAAGCAGCTCAGGCGGTTCCTGGGGATGACAGGGTGGTACCGGAGATTCATACAAGACTACGCGACGATAGCAGCTCCGCTGCACGACTGTCTCAAAAAGGACAGAGTAAACAAATTTACCATGACGGACGAGGCCAGAAGGGCGTTTAATCAGTTGAAAGAAAGCCTGATTTCGGCGCCAGTCTTGACACACCCCGACTTCAACAGACACTTTTATATACAATGTGACGCGTCAACGGACGGAGTGGGCGGGGTTTTATTTCAGTTAGACGACGACGGTAATGAGCGGCCAATAGCATACATTTCGGCCAAACTTAACAAAGCGCAGCGCAACTACAGTATTACGGAGCTAGAGTGCTACGCCGCAGTCCTGAGCGTCAAGCGATTTCGGCCGTATGTGGAGGGACTCCCTTTCACGGTTATAACTGACCACGCGAGTCTGAAATGGTTGATGAACCAAAAGGATTTGTCGGGAAGACTCGCGAGGTGGAGCTTAAAACTCCAGGCTTATGACTTTGAAATTCAGCATCGAAAGGGGTCTCAAAACGTCGTGCCAGATGCGCTGTCGCGGATGAACATGGAAGAGATAGCGGTAAAGGACCGAATGCTAGATGTATGCTTGGACTCGCCATTTTTCAACACAGACGAATACGAGGAGCTTAAAAAGACTGTGACCAACAACCACGACAGGCTACCCGAACTTTGTATATCGGACGGTTATGTATACAAACGGACACAATTTAATAGTGGGGATGACCTTCAGCAGGACCACGCCTGCAAACTCTGGGTGCCGACAGAGCTGCGCCGTGGGCTCCTAGAATCTTCGCATGACTCACCGTCTGTTGGTCACGGTGGACTTCATAAAACTTTGATGCGCCTAAGAGAAAAATATTATTGGCCCGGTATGGTAACCGACGTCCAAAATTATGTAAAAGCTTGCGAAATCTGTAAGGGCAACAAAACGCAAAACGCCTTCCACAAGGCATTAATGGGCAAACAGCGTGTCACTGAAAGGCCGTTTCAACGTTTATTCATTGACTTCATGGGTCCTTACCCCCGTACGTGTTGTGGAAATGTCTATGTGTTTGTGTGTTTAGATCACTTCTCGAAGTTCGTATTTTTAAAACCAATAAGAAAAGCCGCTGCTGCCGAAGTTATTAAGTTCTTAGAGAACGAAGTTTTCCACATTTTTGGTGTGCCAGAGTATATCCACTCGGACAACGGGAAACAATTTGTCTCGGACGTATTTAGGCAGTTCCTGGAAAAGTATGGTACGCAGCATAATAGGACTGCATTTTATGCACCACAAGCCAACGCAGCAGAGAGGGTTAACCGTTCCGTGCTACAAATCGTGAGGTCATATATTAAGGGCGACCAAAAGAATTGGGATAAGCACATTAGCGATGCCGCTTGCG